TGGAGTCGCCCCCCCCCCCCCCCCCCCCCCTCCCCCTGAAACTCACGTGCTTCGCCAACGGGCTCGCTGCCACCCTACCCCCGGGGGCTGGCGCCGCTGCCTCCGGCGCCGCAGGCGCCGCAGGCGCCGGCTCTTCCGCGACGACCACCTCCGCCGCTGGCGCCGCCACTGGCGCCGCCGTTTCAGTCTCCGGGGCCCCCGCCGAGAAGTCTTTGAAGGCCGCCACATCGTCGGTGCTCTCCGTGAGGACCATCATCGGGGTGCCCACGGCGACATCGGGGGTTCCGGCGGGAACCAGGATCTTGGCCAGGACGGCCTCGTCTTGCGCCTCGAAGTCAACGGTTGCCTGTGAGGGAGGGGGGCGGGGGTGTACTCATTTTTTGCGTGACTTGGCAGTCAGGTGTGTGTGTGTGTACTCATAGCCGTGCATGCCGTAGTCATTGGACCATTGGCTACCTCGAATCCCTACGAAGCCGGGACTGACCACGCCGGGTTTTCACCGGACCAGGCTTTGGGGTCACCCATTCAATATTTTCTCAGCCACCGGGACCCGGGCAAATCGCCTGGTGGAGACGGAACACCCTTCCTAGACATCACTCCGAACAAAACGAACGCTTGAGAGAGAATGCCGAAAAATTCCGCGCCAGCGGTGTTTCATAGAGTACCCTGCATCACGCTTATTCGTTCTACCATTTACGTTTCTATGCCACAAGCTACGCATGAGTGCTCCAGAATTATTACGCCTACACCCTGTACAACGGAGGGCACAAAAGAAGGATACGATTCGAGGGCTCCGAGTACCAGTCGTAGAGTGTCATTCTCTACCACAAGAACGACGTTGTCATCGTGTTTGTAAGAGAAGCTCACGTGCCGGAAGTCCAGTCACAGCCGGCGAAAAACGTTGCGGACCGCCTAGCTCTAAAGATTTCACCATCAGAACATCAAAGCTTTGCCATCACCCTCGTGGAGTGTGAGGAATCAGCCATGCGTACCCTTGCAAACAGACGCACAGCAGCACCCACCACCAACGGTCTGAACATGGCATCTATAGCATTCACAAAGGCATCACGGAAACCGAACATCAAGCTGGGGCGTTTTGGGACTCCCATGCTCTGCCGTCAGCCTCAAACTCGATGCGGCCTTGCCAGTGTTGCCTGCGTCGCACCAACCAGAGCAAGTTCCAAACACTGCTGCCAAGCAAGGACGACCAAACAAAGAGCAAAAGCATATTTTCTCTTTGCCCAGGGAATGAGACAATTCCGAAACGCTACAGTACAGAAACTAAAATCAACCGCACCCACCTCTAAAAGTGACTTGACCGTTGCTTGTGCATGCACAACCACAAGTCGAACACTACTTACAGATCGTCCGGCCTTCCTTCTCAGAGACGCATGTCTAGCTGGCTATTTTTAAAGCTTAGGGCGAGGGATGGAGCTCACTTTATCGGTCTCCACCATGCAGATGATGTCCCCCGCAGCAAAAGCATCGCCCTCCTTAACAAGCCACTCCGTAATCGTTCCCGTCTCCATTGTCTGCCAACAAAAAGCAATGGCGGTGCGGAGATAAGCCGAGGACAGCCAGGAGTTACATTTGCGAGGGACAGCAGCACGGGGGGGGGGGGGGCAGCCGACCCCCCCATGCATTCGGAACCAAACCATGACCGACCATGTACTTGTAGCGAGACTGGTTCAAAACAGCAACGCCTGGCCCCTGAAATGCTAACGCTAATGGAAGTGTGCGACTTTATCAACCCGTGGCTTTGCTGCTTCTAATGTACCAGTTGGTTGACCCTGCTGCTGTAGACAATCTACGACTATCCCGCCACAGCCTATAGTAGGACAACAGTAGTAGCCTACTAAAAGTACTGAACAAAATTGCTGCTCAGGGACCTTCCCCCAAGACGGCGCGGGTCCCGAATAACGCCGTGACATATTGTCGGTCATTAGGCTGCGACATATATCGGGACCTCTACTGTAAACCTCAACTACTGCTGTAACTGCTGTCTGTTGCACAATGAAACCTTAACGCAATGCAAGATACAACCGGAGAGGTACTGGGCATCAAAACCGTCGGCGTTACCGTACCGGAGAGAGGTCGGGAACTACTGCAGCGACCTTTACTTCTGTAACTGCTGTTGTTGCACAATGAAACCTTAACGCAATGCAAGACACAACCGGAGAGGCACTGGGCATCAAAGCCGTCGGCGTTTCCGTACCGGAGAGAGGGCGGGCAGGCCGACGACGTCGTGGTCCGGCAGTCCGGAGCTAAAGTGGCGTCGCGATACAGCCTGGAAAGAGCGGCGTTCCGGCGAGACATGCAGGTACCACAGTTTTCCCCACCGTAGGCGAGGAAAACACGCAACCAGGCCGCCCAGCAAATCCACACGCGGCGAATGCGGATAGCAATTGCAGTTTGAAAGATTTTAGGAAATGTGCATTCTAGTTTATCAATGGGAGTTATTGGGTACCTACATCTACAAAAAAAAATGCGGCGGGTTTGGCTCTAAAGCCTTTGATCGGGTCTGTAGCGAGTAGCGAGGTCGTTCACGCGGACGCTCCTCCCTTGAAAATGGAAAATGGCGCCAAGTTTATTGAACGCCTGTCGAGATTAGTCACACAAGTGTGCCAGAAGCGCAACAATGCCCACACGCGTACACTGTACACTGTGCACTACGCCCACACTTACCACTAAATTCCGTGGCCTGGGGGCCCCTGCACCCCTAGAGCTAATCCCCTCGACACCCCCGGTATGCCTGCTGGAGACAAAGGCACGACGATAACGACTTCGTTGAAAACGGGCGAGGGCGTGGTGCGCGCAAGCATGGGATGCATCCAATGGTGGCGCTACTCGTGAGGTGCTCGTGCCCGAAAGTGTACCGCCACCTCTAGCTACTGCCTGTCTGTGCACGAACGGCGCCATGCAACAAGAAATAGTGCCGCGATCGATCACATAAACAGCGGTGCCAGGCTATGTAGCGACGAAGAGTGCAACCCATCTTTTCGTCCACCGAGCACTCGTCACTCGTCTCCCGCACCAAGAGCAAAACCAAGCCGTCACGCAGCTTTCACCCTGCTGCATCGACAAACCGTGGTCTGCACGATATCGAACCTCACCACGCACTTGTATACCTCTCCGGGAACAGGCTGCGGCCGAAACTACTATGCACATCAGATACGGCACACAAGCATATAAAAACGGTTTGTCGCACACATGAGACGACTCAGGAGCGACGGCTCCGTGATCTTTTGAGCACAAAAATGCAACACGCGGCGGTGCTGTGTGTGTTTGCTAGCCAGTTTCTCTCTCAACCTACGCTTTCACAGCGCTCGTGTTTCCTTGAGCACTCTGTCAGCGCTCCCTGGCGAAGCAATCTCTGGTCCCTACGTCTGTACTGCTGCAGCGGGGCTGCCTACGCAGCGTCCCTCAAACTTCCCTGATGCTGCCCCCAACTGCCAGGACAGAGAACCTTACCTCTCTTTCCGAGCATCCCTAGCAGCGACCCAAAAAGCTCCTCGACCCTGCGCGCCGTGGGCAGGGACCGAATGCATCGCCCGAGACGCAGCAACCCTCCGCGTTGCCAGCAGTGGCCTCGCTGCGAATATGCCTGCCCGTCTCATTGCGGCAGTGTGCATGGTGCTGCTATTTGGCTACGTTGCGTTCACGAATAAATCACGCTAATGTGACAGCCGTAGACCTACCACGAGCCACAACCTGGCGGGTGCGTTTCGAGCGCAAGGCCGGCGTGAAGGCTTGCAAACACCGTTCGAGACTATCTCCTCCCCTGATTGGGTCTTGTGACGCACGTGTGGCAGGGTTGGTCTTGTTTGCGGCAGGAACAACACTGCTGCTGTCCTACGGTGCCCGGCCCGTGACACTGCCGTACACGACGATGATGCGGTGTGCAGGGGGGCGTATTGGCAGGGGCGCCGCCGATTCATGGATGCATCGGAATTGCGCCGCACCACGCGGCGGTCGATGATGCCTACATTGCCTCGTTTGAAATTGAAATTCCCATGGTGCCCGTTGCGCTCAGGGCAGCAGCGGCAGCGATACTGCTGGGAAGGGAGAGCCGAGCTTTTTTGAGATCCACTGCGTCTCCGCGCGTAGCGGCCAGGAGTTCGTCAGTTTTCAGAATGACAAGGTCAGCGGGTGCTCTCATGAGTGGCGTGGATATGTTGACTTTGCGGAGCAGTGCATGGGGGGAGGTGCCTTCGCGATCTACTGCTGTAAGGTCGTTCACGAACACCGTAGCACAGAAGAGCCGGTGCTGGGGAGGCGGTTGCAGCTACGTGCTGCTGGTAGAGACGAATGGGCCGTTCCCTGTGACCGCTTCGGTTGCCGGAGCTTCGAGGATTGAGCGCGAGGGTCCCGCCGCCGCCGCCTTCGCTGTCTCTTCCCTTTATACTTGTAGCCTCGAGTCTACCTGGCACACCATCATCCTACGTTCCATCACCGTTGGCGATGACGTACTTATTGGTGTGTTAAGGGATCAATAAGCCTCCTGGTGGCTCGGGTGCTACGAGCTACAGCAGTAGCTTGCACCCGATGCAGCGTTGCACTTTCCTAGTCTACAAGGCTGTGGTCCATCACACCATCTGCCATCATCCGGCAGACCTTGACGTTTTCCGCGAGGCTGTGGTTGTGTGCGGGGAACCATGCCTACGCCGCCATCTCAAGATTCGTACCTGGAATTCTTCCACTTATATGTGCGTGCTTTCGTTCTAAAATGGCATCGCGAATGTGTGTAACGCCGCGTGATGTTGCCTCCTCCGTTCCCATGCCTCCTGTAGCGCTCAGGCGAGGCCGCCTGCCGCGGCTGCCGACGTGGCCACAACAGCAGGAGGGACACTGCTCGCCCAAGGTGACTTCATGTCCAAGTGTGACCTGGTGCTCGCCAGCCAGAGTCCAAGACGCCTGGAGATCGTGGGCATGATGGGACTGGCGGTAAGAACAACAAGGCTTCTCTCATTCGACACTTGTCCGCGCTCCTTAGGTGCTTGCAGCCAACCTCAACTGCCCTGCACGGGTCGGTATGCGGGTGATTGTTCCGCAGGATCGCGTTCGTGTGGTCGTCTCCGAGTTTGAGGAGAATCTGGACAAGTCATCTTTCAAGGACCCCAGGGACTATGCGATTGCCAACGCAGAAGGCAAAGCGAGAGAGGTATGCACAAACGGTACGACGGGGGGAGGAGAGCACAAAAAAAAACGTTGTAAGTTGAGACGTTGCATGAATCCCTGAAGAGGGGGATTGCGACTCCGCTCTGACCCACATAGAAAAGCGCACATAGAAAAGCGACCGCTGTGCCGGTAGCATCACGACCTCTCTAATCTCCGTGCATCACAGCAGTCAGTCGAACCGCACGTCGTGCGTGCACAGCATGCGGTGGTTGTTCCACGCAGTGACTTGACGAGGATTTTGAGCCTTGGTGCGGGTAAGAGCGGCTTGGCAAGTAAGAGCAACGCAGGAACCAAGCGGGATGAGGGAGCATCGCATGGCTGTACCGCACTCTTGGCGCGGTGAAAGTTGGAAAAAAACACTTGTTCGTTTCGCTTGCTGAAACAGGTGGCAAGTCGCGCGTTGCTGGATGCAGAAGGCGAGGGAGCAGAGCCCATCGTGGTGGTGGGATCGGACACAATTGTTGATGTGAGAGCTGTCATCGCTTGTAACCGGGTGTAGGATGATGCCTACAGCAGCAGTTGTAACGGAACAGCAGTAGTGGTCGAATAGGACCGCTCGATGGTGCTGTCCTCGGTGGTTTTCTGGCAATGCTCTTTGAAACATCTATCTCCGTAGTGTACTCTTGCGTGGTATCCAAATGGTTTTACTATTGCAATCTTGTGCTTTTCATTACCAGTTGGACGGCGTTATCCTAGAGAAGCCGAGGGATGATGAGCACGCGTTCTCGATGCTCAGCTCTTTGAGCGGTCGACGACACCTGGTGCACTCGGGCGTAAGCATTTTTACCAGCAAACTGGGCAAGGACAAAGCGGCGGTGAGCTTTTGCGAGACGACCCAAGTGCTCTTCACGGCACTATCGGCCGAGGAGATTCGCGCTTATATTCGGTGAGCAATTAAGCCGTCCGAATGAACGGCGTTTTGACTTTTGCAACGTCTTTATGTTCAAGTGTGTTGGCAAGGGACCGAGCTGTGTTGGATACACTGGTTCACTGTCATGAAACACTCACGCTGCGGTCCATACACTGTCAAGCTCGCGTTCAGAATGAGATGGCCATGTTACGTTCGCCCATCATGCTGTTGTATCGATGAAACGCTGACGCAGGACACGAGAGCCGATGGACAAGTCTGGGTCATACGGCATACAGGGGGAAGGTGGACAATTCGTGCGCAAGGTGGACGGGTGAGTGGGCATATGAAGTGATTTTTTTTTCAAGTGTGGTGCGTCAACGTTTGCGTAGCGGTTAGAAGGTCTTGCATGATTCACGCACGGATTATGAATCATGGATGATTGGCTCAACTTCACAGACCCCTCCGCTCTTGCCTTCTGCGCCTGTCTTCACAGGTGCTACTTTAACGTGATGGGGTTCCCGATGCACGCCTTCTCGAGACGTTTAGCAGAGGTCATCCGAGACGGGAAGGCATGATGTAGCGCGAACACCCACCTGCATGTGACATCACTTTGAGTGAATGCGTGAGTAGTGACTTTCGCTGATGGGCGACCCTTGTGTGGATTGTTTTTTTTTCCCCTCGCTGATTCCAGTCTGCGTCACGAAAAGCCCGTTCCGCAAAACTAAACGTCAACAAAATGCAGACTAGGCTTGCGTTTTCCAAGTGTTTTGTATGATCTGATCGTGGGAAGGACTGTTTTATTCCGGATGTGGGCTTTTGGGGACCCGTGTGAGCGTTTGGGTTGGCCGTTGCTTGTCCCGAACTGAGGGAACTTTCGCGTTGGGGAGCGGGTACCTTTGCTCTGTGGAGAACTTGTGTCTACTTAGAGGTTCGTGCGGTCAGGGTAGGCACGCGGCCACAACGTTGGTCTTATCTTTGAATACATTGGTACATTGGAGATGCTTTTTTACATAGGTTGGGGAGGTGAAGTTCCAGTCTTCATCCTCAGTAGCTATAGAAAAGGGGGCATTTAAACAGAAGCTTTCCGTGAACGAGGTGCGTTGACGAACTTGAGTCAAGTGATTCTCGTCCCCAGCAGGAACACCGCTGGCGGCTTCCGAACGCATTGATGCTCCGTCTGGACGCTGGGTCCACAACAACCACGGCCCAAGCTCCCGTTCGATCTCGACCAAGGAACACGCTGTCCGCGCTTGGTCTGTGGGAACTTGCTGTTGTTTCCGTCTTGACACACGGAGTGAAACGTTCAAGGCAGCAACAGCGAGATCTCTCACGATGAGTTTTATTTCACCCTCAGTAGACTCTTCGAGAGGGTTGGCTGCCCTGTCAGTCACCTGATAACTCCAGCCTCACTCATTTCCGTCTCTTACAATCGTTGATAATTCGAGACCCTTGGTGTTGCAATAATCGAACGTCGTCGTCTTGATAAAAGAGTTTCTCCGCTATGAATGCCGTCCTTCGAGGCACCTCGAAAGTATCGTGTGTTCCCCAGGCAGTTGCACAGAGCCTCGTTTGCGTAAACCCGCAAGGAAACGTCAACGGTCAATCGCGTGCTGCTTGAGTTTTTTCTTAAGATGAAAAGTGCGACGATCGCCCGTCATCTGCATATCACGAACCTACGACCACGGATGGATACTGATCGACGGAGGTGAGTGTCTCGTACAAAAAAAAACTATTATTCACAACAACTCTCGATTTGGGGCTATTCTCCTTTGTTTATTCCTGTCGAACCTCTCATCGCCACTCAGGCGCACTGTCTTCCCGTGGGAAGGGACTTACACTCTGTCAACCGATTTCCTCAACAGCCTCACCCAAACATCACAATCAACCGCCTACTTCGTAAGAGTACGCCGAAACCCGAATAAAAACGACAAAGCCAAACAAGATCCCAAGGACGTTGTGGTTACTCCGACACACAAACACTACGTACAATACTCGGGAGTGCAGGAAACCAAGCACGTCCTGCTACAGGGGACCAATGCCCGCACTAGACTCCATCCGCGGTTCCCGCCGGTCACAACAACTTTGACTTTATCGGCTGCAGAGCTCTCGTCGTGTTTCCTTTTCCCCCGTCGACAACACCAAAGCTACGATGAACACAAAATATATATTTATGGTGTATGGATTGGGTCGGGCTGCTGAGACGTATAGGGGAGATGCGCCGGACCCAGTCACGTGATTCTCCCGCCGAAACTGTTCTCTTGTTTGGCAGCAGTTGCTGTACAATCACGTCGAACTAAACCGCAGGCGCACCCTGGACAACATGCGCCTGTGTACAGGCAAACTTACAACTTCAACCAAACGTTGGTTATCCTCCCTTGCAAACAAGAATCTTTTATAATTGGGCATGATACAGCGTTCTTTGAACCCTCTCTTCGACCACAAGCTACAAAAACAATACTCCAACGTGTACAATGGCCGTATGTCACATGCCGAAATCTCTCCAACAACCAACATGAATGGCCGGTGTGCGCGCAGTCCACCCTACCGCCTGACCTGACTCGTTCATATCGATCGACCACAATTAACATCTCCCTGATAACCATTCATCACCACCTATCGCGGGTTGGACATCACCGCCGTCACCTTAACAACATCAATGCTTGGCAGATCAAGCGTAAAAAAAGCGCCGCGGTCTGTCGCATGCATACTTGTTCTGTTCATGACTACGTACACAGCCCGGACGCGACTCGACAAACCTTGTACGGGCGCAAACAATTTACCATCTACGACATACCAGGTTCACAACAATGGCTACACCACGAATATACACCAAACTGGTTAGGGGTGGCCAAATATGGCCCACAACGATCAAGGTATAACCAACGAACACGTTATGTTCGATAGATCTATTTCTGGAACGCGGTTGCTAGATCGCACAACTTATCGAGGGGGCTCCAAGGCGGTTGATGACGTTGCATTTTGCCCGCTGGACGGCGCGTGACTCTTGGCGTAGGGGGATCCCCCCCCCCGAGACTCGTGGCAGTAGATTCCAAAGAAATGCTTGCAGCTCTTCGGGATCGCCGGTGCTGTACGCTTCCTTCTTCTGCCACCGCTGCCAACTTCGATGCGCTTCTTTTACAACCTACTGAAGCGACGATCTCGTTCGCTGACTGCTGCGAAGCCGCCGTTGACGCACGTCCCGCGCTTTCGCCTGCCAGGCTTTCTTTTTCTTGCATGTTGCACTTCTGTTCCGAGTCGGTTTCACTGGAATTATGTTGGACAGCTGCAACGAGCCGCATGTCGCCACCGCCAGGGGCGAGTGGCTTCAGCTCCTCTTTGCCACCATCAACGTCCGGATGCCCGAGCTGCTTGCGCCTGGCTTCCGCGTTTTCCCGTTCTTGCCTTTGCCGGTGGAAATCCCACGTAGACTCCTGCAGGGTGTGGCGGGGGGGGGAAGAGGAAAACGAGCGATATCGGCAATCAGGCCTAGGTGCCCCGAAAAGAGCGTCCAACATAGGTCGGGAACAAACAGCGATTCACAAAACCCGGATTAAGCCCGTCAAAGCACTATTGGGGTTGGGAGGCGGGGGTACAGTATTGATTGACTTCTGTGCCCCAGGCCAGAAGACGACTTAAACACTGCGAATGAAATAGACGGGCATGTTTACCTGCCACGCTGCAGTCTCTTGGTTGTCGGACATGTACGAAGAGATGAACTTGTCGGACATGGCCTCCAAGGTGAGGGCGCATCGCACTATGCCCGGCACGGTATTGCCGTAGTGTGGCCGCCCGAGCTCGTCGCACCCAGCGAACCTGCGGCAGTTTCTCCAGATCCTGTTCAGATCCTCCTGAAACTGCCCGGGGCCCCGACGCCGAGGGTATCTCTTGCCCTGGAGCTTGCTTAGCATTGTTCCCAGGTCCATCATGGCGTTACGCCCGATCGATTCCACGTAGTCCGGGTGCTTGACTATGTCAACGGGCTCACGGAAGCAGAGCGACAGGTCGTGCCGAAGCAGCTCGCTCAGGAGGTGGTCCATCGGCGCGCCTCCCGGCGGTGGTGGAGCGAACTCGTTATCTTTGCCGCGAAAGCACTCCGGGCACCGGGCGATGGAAATGTCGCCTTGCTTACCATTCAGCAGACTGCGACAATCCTGGCCCAACGCCTCTAGCTCCACGCCTTGCTCAACCAGGCCGCGCTCCAGGCACTGCGAGCAAAAGCTGCGCGGGCATCGCTCGCACCGACCGATCGGATCACCCTCCGGCAAACTGTGCTGGCAGGAAGCACAGTCCATCAAGTGGCTGCTTCTGTCCTCCGCACCTTCCCTGCCTTCCGTGATCTGTCGCAGTACCGGCAGAAGCACTGCCTGCGGCTCAGCCGGGGATAGGGACTCAGCCGCGGCTGGGCCACTGTTTCCAGTAGGAGAACTTTTCCCCTCTTGCGAGGCAGGCGTTACATCCGTGTCGACCGCTGCTGTTTGCAAGGGCTCAGATGGTTTCCCGTCCTGCAGGGCTAATGGCAAAGGTGCTTCCTGCTTCTCCTGCTGCGCTGCTGTTGGGACAAGCGGCAACAATCCAGCACAGCACACAGACAAACGAGTCAGGACGGGAAGGTTTGCGAAATGGTGTTTTCCTGCCTCCGACGTCCACCGCCCCCCGTCAAACACCGCTTCTTGGGATAATACAGTCCAGCGAGGTAGTTTAAGGGCGCGGCAGCCAACGCCAACGCAACAAGTTATGTCCACAGCTGCAACCCGGAGGATGGAGTATAAAGTGCGAAGAAGCCCGAGATTTACTAAATGAAAAAATAAAAGGCATATGCCTTCACGAAGGAGACACGTGCACAGAAAATAAAACGGCCTCGCATTGGAACTTCGAAAAACTATGGACCCCAACGCCGAACGTCTTGTCCACGCCACGATACATGTGGGCCGAAATACGCCGAGACAATCGAACACTGTAGAAGCTCGAAACACTGAAACAACACCGGGGGCTCATGAAATTATTTTCGGATTGGTGCCCGGAACTCATAGTAACCAACAACACGACTTTCCGAAGAAGGGAATCCACGAAACATCCGCCCGTGAGCAGCAGCGTTTGGTCTCTAGTAACAAACACCCTCCTTTAGTCCAAACGGGAGCATTGTCACGATAAGGTTGGGACGGGACTCTGTGTTCCAGGAAATGAACAACCTGCGTGTACCAGGCCGGTCCAAGATATGCAACTACGTACGCCGTGGCAGACAAGCGTGGAAATGTGCGTTGGTCCATCACGTTCCGCGAAAACAAGAACGGGCAATATAGATATTGCGGAATCCGCACACCAGCGTAACCATTGCGAATGAAGACTTGGTTTGGGTTCTTCACGCCTCCTTGATTTTGCGTAACCCGATGAAAGGTGGTCAGCCTGCGACCACGGCAGACGTGCGCGTCAGTTGGGCCAGTACGAATACTAGACGGTTCTGGCATAGGATGGATCTTAAAACTTGAACACAACAGCACGGCAACGGATGGTTCAAGCGGCGTCATGCACAGGGTGCAATCTGGCGGTATCGAGTTGGGTTCCATCCTGCCACGAGCGGTGGAGGCTCACCTTGGTGGCGTTTGTTCCTCGTGTTGCTGGACGGGGGAGAGTTGTCGATGTCGTTGCTGCCGCTGTCGGCCCAGAAATCCCTCAACGAATGTCGTGGCGTTGTTGGGGCCGCGGCAATAGAACCATCGTTTTCGCCACCCACACTCTCGGCTTGATGGACGGCGGCTGCAGCAAGTGCCGAGGAAGGAGATCCTGGCGCCGGAGGGTCCGCAGAAGGGGCTAGCTTCGCTTCAGCCGCACGTGGGAAACTTTCTACAGCAGAATCTTCTTCGTTCTGCGGGGACAACGTAAGAGGCGCTGCCACGGTTCTCTGCGCCACTTCAGCGCTCACTGGTGCCGCCACGTCGCTCCCTCCATGCCTATCCGATTCCGCAGCTGTTGCTCGGTAACCGTCGTGCGGGCGGAGATCACACAAGGCGTACTTCCCAGCGGTGCCTTCTTTTTCGGGATCAGGACGCGCCGCCCGATGCTGAACAAGCTCCTCCGCTGGTACCGGGTTTGACGGCTGAGGTGGGCATGCGTCGGCCGAGTCGCAGGAAGTTGCTGTTGGATTGGAGGTATTTGGCGTCGCCCCAACCGCAATAGTAGCTGCTTTGGCTGACTTCAGGTCGGCCTCTAAGGCCCTGATCTTGTTGTGCAGAACGGCGATGAGGCCCAGCTGGCCGCTCATCTGAGTCTCCAAGAAAGCCACGTGATGGTGGAGGTGCAAATTATGCGATCGCGCGTTGGTGATCTCCGCCTCAAGCAATATCATCTTCAAGGCATCAGGGTGCTTGAGCCCCACATCTCCAACGCCACGACCGTCATCGCCGCTCTTCCCATGCAGCAAACCGGCGCCAGCCCCAGCCAGGGGATGAAAGGGGTTGAGGGGTTGGAGATACAGGGGGTGCTGTCCATGGCGATTGTTCCCGACCGCCGCGGCTGCTGCCGTTGTGCCAGGAGCGTTCGGCGCAATGCTCCGCCCACTTTTCGCGCCACTCTCGGAGCCTTCGTTAGAGACTTGAGGTGGCGTTGACTCTGGCGCACCAACCAGTGCTGCAGGACTGAGCGGGAGGTGTTTGCTTCCCCACGAGGAGTTGCCGCCGGGGAAGACATTGGACGCCATGCCTGTGACATCGAAAGGAGCATGGCAAAGACAGCGGGGGAAATAATCCATCGACAGACAGCAAGTAGATAAATAGAGAGGGCTAAAGGTTGAACAGTTGTTTCGCCACTCCTCACGGTAACTACGCTGCATTGATATGAGCCCAGCTTGCGGGAATGACCACATGCTCTACAGCCGCTCACCACTCCCTCAGTCGTCACGAGGGCGCTTATCTCACAAGCTAGCGGGTCTGCTAGCCCCCCTGCAACTCTGCGCCAGATGATGGGGCCCGAAAAACGCCACAGCATTCTGCGGTGAACACGCGCTCTGCTAGCACGCTCTCCCAGGTCAACAACGTCATACATTGTATGTAGGAAGAGCAGAGTTCTGGTGCTGGCGATCCCTTACTGCTTGTACTGTGTCGTGCTTCACATGCTGATGGTCGGACGCATGCAAACGTGCCTGATACACAAGATATAGCCTCCCCCTGACTTCGTAACGTTCCATAGGGCTGGGGTATTTCGTGTGTGTGTGCTTCGTCCCACGTATTCTGGGCGGGAGTCTACACCTTTCCGTAAACGTTTTGGCGCAGTAGGTGAGGTCGCAGACGAGGAAGAGGGGGACAGCACCTATTTTTTATCCACCTGTCCCCCGCCAGTGCTTAGCTTCGATCGTTACGCGGTAGTCTCCACCTCCTTGATTTTACTTGGGACAACTGCTGAATGCAGAGTCTATGGGCTGGCTACTCACGCCTCGGTGTTGTAACCGAGAGATTCGAACCCGCAATCTAGAGAGCCAGACGGTTTTGACCTGTGACCATCGCTTTAACAACACACAAGAAAGTGTGTGTCGTCTGCTGTGGGATTGTTCCTCTCAGGATCCTGATCCCAACGTCGGCAGTCCTCCTACCGGCCCGCGCGGTAATGGCTGGAGTGTTCACGATACGACCTCTCGGGAATATCAAGAGTAAGGCAGAGATAACCTCTGGTCTGTCGTATTTGCCGAAGCTGGCATAGCTTGGACGAGGGCAAGTAAACATCGAATCATCCACCGACGCGTTGCCCACCAAACACGACCAAGGCCTGTTTCTGGCCGATTTACAAGCAAATCGACACATGCTCGAGCGACCATGCAGGATAATGGAGATGTCTCCGCTTCGGGGTGTTACCTGATGTCCTGATCTTGCAACGCACCGGGGATCAGATGAGGGGTGCACAGCAACCTACCCCCAGTAAACTTGTTGTCCGCACGACCTTCCAGTACTAAACAATCTGCAAGGCGGTGCATTTTAAGAGGCTGGTGGAACTACTAGATTCGGGTGTGTCAGCAGCTCTCCCGTTGTCCTGTCGCTTCTACATACTTGTACCGTAGAGGAGTGTCCAGCTTCGAGGCTGGGCTGTCGACCGTTGACGTATTTATGCCGAAGGGCCGCAGAAATATTGAATGATGATGACACAACCGCTGATGCCTCCCGCCTGATGATGCTTTTCCCACGACAATGCCGCTAAGCTTCTTGCCCCTAGGCATCGCTACAGGCCTGGTGCTATCAAACTACCCCCCCAAACGAACAGCAGAGCGGCGTTATCTACTCCGGCCATCCCGTCGCTGCTGACGACGCTTCCCCAGCTCACGTAGCGTGTACAGCGAAAAACGAGAACAATTCAACACTCACCTGACTGGCAATGTTGAGGTGGACAACAGAGCTCAAGGTAGCACGCGCAGATCACAGCCGTAAAATAACAAGAGAGTACCCCTGCGGGTGTCGGGGGTAGCGAGGTTGGGGCCCAGAAGGTACGCTGGTTCGCGTTAGGGCAGCACAGCGGTGCGACTTTGGGGTGTGACCAAGTGTGACTTGGTGCGTGTTCACGTGTGGCGGTCTAGAATCGTCCCTCCTCCCTGCACCAAAAAAAAAAAAACACCCGAAAATATTTTCCGACACACGCTGATTGGCCCAGCAGTCGGAATAGGCGTCGACTCCTGTCTCTCTTGGTCCGCTTGTCCTCTCTGTCTTCTTGTGTCAAACTCTCTGATTCCTCCCCTACAGCAGCAGTACAGCATTCCACATAACAAATTGCATACAACGCAACGGCACGTGGTGTACCGAGCAACGCAGCAGCCCATGGTGCAACGGTGAGACCAACCGATGATTGATGTTGCGGTAGGCCTAAACTAGGCGGGGCGGAGGTTTGGGTTGACAGCAGCAGCAGTTGTTTGTCCGAAAAATAAGAAAGGAGCTTGAGACAACTGCAAGAAAGACCTTGGAGCTATTGCTGTATGCATACAACAGCAGTACTGCTGCAAGGGAAGGATTTCGTTGTTATCCATGCCCGAGCGGGAAACGGGGGGTAATATCCACAGAATGAGAGATATACACATGGGCTTCAGGGAGGTAGGTACGCTTATGAGGAAGACAGAAGAGATCACGGAGGGCGTACACAACGAGTGCGGACAGATGGAGATTTTTTTAGAAAGTACACCAGGTCCTCCTGATTTTTTCTTCACACTACTGCTGAACAAGTACTTGTAGCAGGCAGCCGACCGTCTGCGAGTGTTGCTCCTGCTGCTGTAGTCTAATGACCGGTGAACTTGTTTCACAAACACGCCAGGCTTTGCTTGCTTGACATACATGAAGGTGTCCGGCTTGATTTCTTGGGTCTCAGGCTTACCCTCCCGCTCGTTCCTCGCGCCGGTCCCCGGTTTGTCGAAGAAGATAAGAACGGAAACACTAAATCTGTTTCGTACACTTGCAACGCCTGATACGGGCGTCAAGCAGATACCTAAATGTGCTTGGCACAGCGTCCCCGGTGCCTTCGTTCAAGTTTTCCCGCGTGCGTTGCTATAATCAAAACGCACGTAACCCGCTGAAATTCATCGCAGTCTGCCAGGCTTCAAGTACGTCGCTGTTTGGGACGTATGTTGTGTGTGGATTCTTTAGATCTCGAACGCACGTAGTTATTCATATACATTCTCTGTCAGTTGGTGAGGTTGCTCGCAGGATACGGCTGGTTTCGCTCCGCTCATGGTAGAAGAGAAAGAGAGGGGGGGGGGGGGGGGGCACCTTGTGTCCGTCCCCCACGGAGACTGCACCTTGCGGGGTGCTTGTTTCCTTCTTTTCGACGACCACTCCCCCCCCCTTGGGCTAGAATTGGCACCGTGGAGTGCGTTTTTCAAATTGTTGACTACCCTCCCGCCGCCAACCTCAAAGCCGATGCACGAGGTACTTTCTCACGAGGTCAGTGATCTTTAGTTCGCATGTACTTGACGCCGCTTCAAAGTCATTCATTGCTCAGCACGATACAGGGGATGGATCGTTGGTAAACGCGACGTAATGCTGTGCTGTGATTTGTGCTTGATCCGACACGGTGCCTTGACTTGGCACGGGGGTCTGCAAATTCAAGAGACCGAACAGATTTAGATCGCAAGCGTCGTGTCCGAATCCAAAAGATTCCCACTTCGGGCGCGACGTTGCTGTGCTGTCGTGAGGTTTTCGCGAAACTCTCGTATGCAAAACCAAGAAACAACTGGTTGGCGCGCACACGGTTACATGGCGATATAAATACAACCTGCGCCGCCACTGACCATGCCGCCATCTTGGCGGTACTTGTAGACATTTCGTTATTGGCGTTGTTTGGTACTTCTACTGCACTTCTTCAGCACAGCAGACCACCCGCATCTGTGATATCGAAGTGCACGTATGTATGAAACAAATGTCGCTACGCGAGAAATGCACTTCCCGGCCGGGGATCCTTGATTAGTTGGGCACGGGCGCGAGCGACAAAACAACAAGAGAACGATTTGTAAAAATCCTCTCACGCCAACTCTAGCGCGCGGGGGGGTTCCTTTACAGGGGGGTTCCTTTACAGTAGGTCGAAATTTTATTCGCCCTGGGGCCGGTGCAAATTTCGCCGTTCTGGGCCTTTTGGGCGGAGGAGGGCAAATCAGTGAGGAGAGGGCAGCCTCAAGCAGACCACTGCTGTAACCTGATGCAACACGCTTGAGTTCAACCCTCTACCTTATGTGCGAGTTCGAGCTATCTTTTGGGGGGCTGTGGCAAAGTGTTTCGCGAGTGGATGGCATTCACGGCACAACTCAAGTGCTGTTGGTCCCGCAACTCCGGCGTTAGTGGGCCAAGATGATGTCAATGCTTTCCAGCCAATAGCGTTTTCAACGAATCCGCGTTCATTAGGTGCACGGAAGATGTGTACACAGCGAACGCCGAACGTGAGCCCACGTAACCGAATCGTAGTATTCAACGATTACTTAGGGTACGACCAAAAAGACCCTTGCCTTCCGGGCGAGATCGACTATCGCGCGCGAGGGGAATATACCCGTATAGTGCTTGGCGTCAGTGTCCTAAACATGACCACCCATACATCTCTAGACGGAGAGCCATTCTTGCCCCTCACAGCGACACCACCTACAGCAGTCGACCTCGTTTTTCCTTTCTCTCTGCTTGTGGTGTTTTTCATGGGAAGTGTTGCATCTGTTCGATTCTTCATTCAAGCCCAAAGTGTTCCCGCCACCGCGGCGAGTATGGGACCTCATTCCCTGCTTTGATCGTTTGACCACTAAACATTCACACGTCAAGAGAGAGAGCATTGAATGTACTCCTAATAGAGTAGTAGAGACACTATCAATACTCGAGCAATGTTTTCGGGTCTCCTGGGTTGTTTGTACAGGTGTCATGTAGCTTTGGGCAGTTTTGCCCACCCACGGGCCATTGAGTACATCGATCGTACTATCACCTCTGTCTTCATCCTACAAGTATCACACTTCGTCGAGCCGCGCCAATCTGAGGGCTACCCTCCGCTCCCTGAATACTCCGCATTCCCCGACTCTTGCGAGTTCTCGAATCTGCTTGGCCGCATGAGCGGGCCTGCGGCAGGGAGGGTCCCTCTCTTTCTTTGGTCTGTTTCCCGCACGTGGACGAGACGTTGAAAGTTTGTTTGCCGTGACCTTTGCATTTCGCCCAGTTTTTTTATGATCGAGGTGGTGCACATCATGGGAGAGTCGGTCTATCCCTGCATCATAAGATGGATGTATGTCCGCACGCACGACAGTCGCTTTGCTGGGGTATTTCACAGCGTTGCCTGTTAACCCAACCGCGCCTCCTTGGACGAGCACCCCGAAGTGAAGAGAGGAACTTACCAATCAGTGCTGGTGTCGGTTTGGGACGATCGATGATCCGTCAGCCACTCGCGCCAAGCAAGCGTTTTGCTGGTGGTGCGTGCTGAATTTCGCGAAATAACGCATGACATCAAACCGAACCTACGCAAAGAAGACGAGACACATGAGGAATTTGTTGCAAAAGTTCCGTGACGCCGTCCGGGCCCAGCACACACACACCTATTACGGAAGTTTAGGTTGTAGACCCTCCCCTTGCAAGACTCTGCTATGTATGTCTCAAACAGCGACTTTCCCAGAATTTTCGGTGCAGGCGTGTGTTGTAGCACTATCTCCTTCCGATGTATTTCTTCTCGCAGGAACACGTCGCCAACTCTGCCAAAATCGGTTGCCACACGTTCAGTGGCGTAGAAACGACCATCCCGCTGTTGTACCAGGGTGCCCAAACAATTGTCGCGTATCTAACTTTGTCAAAACAAAAGGCCGCGATACCAACCTCTTCCACCGCGGCACACCGAAGTGACCACCGTACCAGGTAACTTGCGAATCAAACCCGCGGGTGAGGGTTAACGGTTGCATTGGCCAGTTAACATCATCCAGGAAAAGTGTTGCAACGGTTGTTTTTTCGCAGTTCCCTCAACGTCGTGGCCTGGTACCAGACAGCAGATCGGTCGCCATGGAAAAACGTGTTGTGTTTTGTTGCCTCATAACTAAGGGCTTCGCGAGCACTTAAACCGACCGTTTCGCCGACATGACCGTTTCCCCGCGCAACGAATCCTACCACTTACCGATTTCGCCAGGCTACACTCCATGGTGTAGCGACTACAGCAAGACACCAGCAGGAGAAGGAAGTGCCCAGCAGGGTTTCCAACGGAGAAGATGGCAGCTCGAGCTCCCTCCAGCGGTGGCAGCGTTCAGGCAGGAGGAACTGCGGAACCCGTAACCGCAGAGGTAGGACATTTTGGAATGTTCAGGATACTTTATTGTCCCGCTTTTTTTGGCGGTACAGGCTATATTTCCGGTGGTACCCCAATTCGTTAACAGGAATGTCCTCGGCAGGAAGTATGTATTTTGTTTTACGAGAACATCGTTGGCGGGCACGGCTCAACCAATGTATTGCGGCAATTTTCGTTGTCGGATATTCGGCGGCGTATTGCGTTCTATAAGTGCGGGGCAGACCTTACAACATCTGGAAGTTTACCTTTTTCTCCGCCGACATATGTCCAAGTGTACGCGTCTGGCGCTAGAGTGACCCCGAATGCGCTACAGCACAGGGAAACGCTAATAAGAACAACCGTGTGTGGTTTATCTCTAGCTTATACAGCCCTCAGAAAAAGCGAACCACACAAGGTCCTACGATTCAGCAACGGCCATGCAGGAAATAATGGGGGCACGAAAAGTAGAAAACGCTACTGTGTAAGCCAAAGCTCGTATGATAGAGAAGGACCGCTACACGAAGGACAGCATCCGGCAATGCAAAAGAACGTAACGCCCAGCTTCCACGCTGAACCATTCCTTCGGGCCGCGACGGGTTCTTGCGGTATCGCGCGATAACGTGGGTACGCTACATAGCTCTGTGCTGCTCGGCAAACAGCGGTGTCCATTTCTACGAGCTCGTCAACTCCAGTGCCTGTCAAGCCAACCAAGTGTCATACACTTGACACGTACCACTAGTATTCCTTCGGTGGTCTTCATTGTAGCTGGACCACGCTGGGCATTGGTAGTGGACAGGTGAGTTCGATTTTGTTGGGTGGTCACCCAAAGGGTATTTCAGATTAACAGAACGAACGAAAAACAAAGAGCACGAGTATAAAGGATGATGCACGAGAGGGTTAGAGCCCGCCGCCAGATGGGGGAAATCTCTGGGTGCAAGCTATGTTCATTGAGCCGTGTGACGTATGGCGCAGTGACGCAACTGAGACGTCTATGTTTGGGAACGATCACGTGGTACGAGACGCATGCAGATGGTAGAATTATGATGCAAGAATGTAACGTTTGGCCTATGCCTCGTGTTTTGATCTTCCCTTTATGCGTGGTTGAACATGGCGCCGTCGATGCCACCTATCGTTCGAACCCTTACGCTCTTAGTCTCCGCTGAACCCCCAGATGCTTCAAGAGGTCGAACGGCTTCTCGCCAGTAGGAAGCCATGGCCTGCGTTTGTTCAGGCAGGACTGCAGGCCCGGTATGAGTGGAACAACTGCCCGGAGGCTGTCGGAGAGGCATTGGAGTGGATGGCATCGGCCACCGTTGGCCTGCTGGACATGGCGAGTGTGGGCCCTCTCACGCCCGTCTGCAAGGCCTTTACATCGCTGATCGAGGCTGCAGAAGGCGCCATCGAGGTAGCTAAGAACCTAGAGGAGCTGGTTTCTTGGTGCTCGTTCCTCGTGGGTGTGTTCATCGAGCACGGCAAGCAGGAGGACAATCTGCGGCCGATCGCAAAGCCCATGAAGGATTTTGTCGCCACGACGATCGAGCTCGCGAAGCGTGCCAAAGCCATGGGGGCAAGAGGAAAATGCACCGCACTCCTCTGCCATCGGAGGGACGGGAAACAAGTGCAAGACTTCGACGTGAAGCTCCGCCACATTTGGGACGACATCCAAGGGGTGACTCTCCTAGCGTTTTATTCTGACTTTCGCGCTACGCTCCCCCCCAAAACGGCCTACATGGCCAGAGTACCCAAGAACGCCAAACAACTGCCGCCGGCGTTTGTGGAGAGGAGGGACCTATTCAAAGCTGTTGTGAAGGACTTGGTGGCGACGGATCGAGCGACGAATGCGGCCCATGTGCTCCGTGGTATGCCCGGGGGGGGCAAGACCATCGCAGCCAAAGCAGTCGTGCGCTGCGAGGACGTTCGCCGGAGTTTCAAGGACGGAATATTCTGGGTGCAAGTGGGGCAGGTTGGCACGGGCAACCCGATGGCCCTGCTACAAGGCTTGGCGCGGGACCTTGCGCACGCTCCGAGTCACCAGCCACATACGGTCCCGCACGAGTTCGTGGACGTCGAACATGCCGTAAGCCACCTTGAGGGCGTTCGGAAGGAGCGCAACCTAAGGTGCCTGGTGGTACTTGATGATGTGTGGGACGCACAGATCGTCCCGTTGTTTCTGTGCGGAGGGTTCCATTCCTTGGTGACTACACGCGACCTTGCGGTGATTCCCCGAGACCTGCAGGGAGTATGTACGGAGGTCGAGATGCTCACCAATGCCGAGGCTTTGGAGCTCTTGAAGAACGCAAGTCGAGCAACTGCCGCCATTCCGACGAACGAGGGCCTGAAGGTGGGAAGTTGCCGTCGAGATTGTTTACTCTCGCTCAGACCCATGTTTATGGTCGCCAAATCTTTGCGAAAATGTGGAAATTTTGAAGATATGCCGAACAAGGTTTTGTTTCACTTCCTATGGGACAAAATCTTCCGCAACCTTTCCAACGATTTTCGAATGCGGCAAAAGTCGCTCGTTCGACAAAATGTTCGACAAACATTTCGAAATGGGGCAGGTCGCGAACATCTTTTCCAAGAGCGGCGAGATTAGTAGCCGACCGCCCCTTCCGTCCTCAACACCAACCACTCCGCAGCGCACACTTAGTGTAGCAAGCTCATAGAGGGATCCAGACAACCCTAGAGTCGCCGTGTCAACGTTTTGCCGGCTGATACATGGCGGGAGCTCGTCAAGCGTACACTAAAAAACAAACAGGCAGGGGTGGTTTGAAGGCCACGGAGAAAACGTGGTTTGTGTCTCTGAACGGGAAAAGGTCGGCTGCTTGAGAGGAGACGTGAGTACAAAACTATCCAGCTCTCGTCCTCTAGACCATCGATTCATGTTTCGTCTTCTTGGGTGTCTTCTTCATCAACGGCTATCATCCGTGTGTGCGTGGTTCAGCAGTGGACGTACTCAATAGGCGGGGAGACGCGTCGCTGTGAACTCGTTGTGTTGAAAAAGTCTTTTTTGGGACGGAAGAACAAGCCCTCTAAATTCAAGTGAAGAAATAGGCCGTAAATAATGTTGTGTCCACAACTTTGTGCGCGCAACGATGTGCCTCCCTGCCGACTGAGCACGACCACTTCCAACCCACCCGCAACCGGATGAGAGTCGTTGATGGAGAAGACACCCCAAGAAGACAAAACATGAATCGATCGTCTAACGGGCGAGAGCTGGATAGTTTTGTACTCACGTCTCCTCTCAAGCGGCCAACGTTTTGCCGTTGGGAAGCGCTGACGTACGTTTTGGTCTCTTTTGACACCGGAAATATTTTTTCTCGCACGCCCGAAGCGCTATCGCCACGTATTGGCGGGCACAGCATCAGCTCAGTGCATCAAGGGCTGTCGGGAGCCCTGTGCGAGCTCGTTACATTCAGTTTCCATGACGCATTTTTGGTTTGTATGTCACAAATCGTTTGGTAGCAGAAGACCACGATTCCCGCCGCACTTCTGATGCATTCCGAGGAAACCACAAGAAAATATATTTTTGCGCAGAATGCGATACTCAAATGTTCCTCTGGCAGATATTCGCGCGCAAATGTTTGACAACAATCGAAGATGTATTTCCAAGATTTTGATACCATAAACGTGAGTCTCAGCGCGTTGTACAGCTGCATACATGTCTATCCGTGTACCACCTTGTGCGCCTTCACTAGACACTCGTCGCAGACTGCGCTGTGGAGAAGTCTCAACTTCGTGCAAGACAGGCACATGCTTCGGTGGGCGAGTTTGTAAACGGCACTCGGTGCTTCGGAGGTAATTGCAAGAACTACCATTTGTTTTGGACTTTTGATCGTTTTCTGCATCACGTCAACCGGATGTCCCGCGCAGGTGGCCAAGGACTGCGGCTTTCTTCCCCTTCCCCTTGCCATCGTCGGTGCTATGGGTAGCTCGCGAGCAGACCCGGACTCCGCCGAGACTTGGAGGGGCATTCACGCGCTACTCCAGCAAGAGCCAGAACTTGTGCAAGATCCTGTAGGAAGTGTTCTTGCCGTCAGCTTCTGTGGGCTCAAGGGGGCGGCTAGAACGCGGTTCCGTAAGCTTGGTGTGCTGGCGAAGGGGGCAAGGGCCCCGGTCGACATGGTCGCTCATCTGTGGGAACTGGTAAGTGTACGGGGGAATGGGGTTTTTCGATCCTCATATGCATATCAGGGAAGTGTCTGTATTCGCCACTTGTGAGACTCACTGCTTGTCTTGCGTGGTTCGTCGGTGTGCCTAGGACCATGACGATTCAACGCTTTTACTGGACGACCTGGTGGACAAGTCCCTCGTGAAAGTCGAAGAGCACGCCTACTACCTACACGACCTGGTGCTTGATTTTGCGAAAGATGAGCTCCGGAAGTTGAAGGAAAGGGTGCGGCTCGTCACTTGTCGCCAAGCACAGTACCTTGGCCGAATGTCCGTGGTCAAGGACTACGCCAAGGCTGGCGAGGTGATGGGAGGGTTTTATGCGCTGATGGCTTTGTGGCGGTCGGTCGAAGACCTGTCTGGAGACAATCAGCTGGAGGCAAGCACGTATGGAGCCACGGTGAAGCCTTCGGAAGAAAGTGAAGCGTCAGAAGATGTTGCCTATCTGACCTGGGCTGTAGGGAGGTTGTTCGAACTCCAGGTGGGCGATCAGCGGAATGTATATCGTTGCCAATAATCAGATGTGCAAGATATGTGATGGCACGTCGTTCGATTTCTGAGGAATATTTCAGACAGCAATCGCGGAATCGAGTTTTGGCGGGGTCTATATATATTGGGTAAAATGTACGGGGCTGTGTTCGCCACCTTGAGAATGCAACCGAAGTCGATCCCCGAGTGGAGAGTTCCCCGCTGGCGGTCTTTCTTCCCCCTTCAAACCTAGGCGACCTACTCTGCGGCTCTGCTGCTCCGGTTAACAATACAGGGCAAGTTCGCTGAGGCTGAGGAGCTGTATGATCGGTGTCAAGCAATCAACGAGGAGGCTCTCGGCCCTGAGCATCCCAGCGTGGCGACCACACTGCACGGCCGGGCGGGCTTGATGGTGAAACAGGTGCGAGGCATCCGGTTTGTTGGACAATCGCTTGGAGTTCTGCCGTGGTTTGTGTTGTTATGTGTCGTTGTAGTTGTTCCGGTTGGAGTTGCCGAGGCCCGTTGCTTGCTTGACAGGGCGCCTAAGACGAGGCGGACCGTTGGTACGGTGGAGGTGTTGATGTTGGGCGGACTGGGGGTGCGCCCTGGGCGCGTGGATGTTGGTTGACGGTTGAGTTACTGGTCGTGGTAATTCCGAAGTCATTTCTCCCCGGTGGCGTTCGGCCTTGTGATTCGAAGTGACACGATCGACGGTGCGACTCTGCTGCGCTGTGGCGTACATTTCAGGGCAAGCTCGCTGAGGCTGAGGCGCTGTATGATCGGTGCCAAGCAATCGAGGAGAAGGTTCTCGACCCTGAGCATCCCAGCGTGGCGACCACACTGCACGGCCGGGCGGGCTTGATGGTGGAACAGGTGCGAGGCATCGGGGTTTTTGGACAATCGTTTCGAGTTCTGCCGTGGTTTGTGTCGGTTTTTGTGTCGTTGTAGTTGTTCCGGTTGGAGTTGCCGCGGCCCGTTGCTTGCTTGACAGGTTGCATAAGACGAGGCGGACCGTTGGTACGGTGGAGGTGTTGATGTTGGGCGGACTAGGGGTGCGCCCTGGGCGCGTGGTTGTTGGTTGGCGGTTGAGTTTCTGGTCGTGGTATGTCCGAAGTCATTTCTCCCCGGTGGCGTTCGGTCTTGTGATTCGAAGTGACACGACCGACGGTGCGACTCTGCTGCGATGTGGCGTACATTTCAGGGCAAGCTCGCTGAGGCTGAGGCGCTGTATGATCGGTGTCAAGCAATCGAGGAGAAGGTTCTCGGCCCTGAGCATCCCAGCGTGGCGGCCACACTGCACAGCCGGGCGGGCTTGATGGTGGAACAGGTGCGAGGCACCCGGTTCGCTGGACAATCGTTTCGAGTTGTGCCGTGGTTTGTGTGACTTAGTGTCGTACTAGTTGTTCCGGTTGGAGTTGCCGCGGCCCGTTCCTTGCTGGACAGGGCGCGTGAGACGAGGTGGACCGTTGGTACGGTGGAGGTGTTGATATTGGGCGGACTAGGGATGCGCCCTGGGCGCGTGGTTGTTGGTTGGCGGTTGAGTTACTGGTCGTGGTAATTCCGAAGTCATTTCTCCCCGGTGGCGTTCGGCCTTGTGATTCGAAGTGACACAACCGACGGTGCGACTCTGCTGCGCTGTGGCGTACATTTCAGGGCAAGCTCGCTGAGGCTGAGGCGCTGTATGATCGGTGCCAAGCAATCGACGAGAAGGTTCTCGGCCCTGAGCATCCCAGCGTGGCGACCACACTGCACAACCGGGCGTGCTTATTGGAGCAACAGGTGCCAGGCATCCGGTTTGCTGGACAATCGTTTCAAGTTGTTCCGTGGTTTGTGTTGATTTTTTGTCGTTGTACTTGTAGTTGTGCCGGTTCTAGTTGCCGAGGCCCGTTCTTTGCTTGACAGGGCGCCTAAGACGAGGTGGACCGTTGGTACGGTGGAGGTCTTGATCTTGGGCGGACTAGGGGTGCGCCCTGGGCGCGTGGTTGTTGGTTGACGGTTGAGATACTGGTGGTGGTATTTCCGAAGCCATTTCTCCCCGGTGGCGTTCGGTCTTGTGATTCGAAGTGACACGACCGACGGTGCGACTCTGCTGCGCTGTGGCGTACATTTCAGGGCAAGCTCGCTGAGGCTGAGGCGCTGTATGATCGGTGCCAAGCAATCGAGGAGAAGGTTCTCGGCCCTGAGCACCCCAGCGTGGCGACCACACTGCACAACCGGGCGTGCTTATTGGAGCAACAGGTGCCAGGCATCCGGTTTGCTGGACAATCGTTTCAAGTTGTGCCGTGGTTTTGTGTTGATTTTTTGTCGTTGTACTTGTAGTTGTGCCGGTTCTAGTTGCCGAGGCCCGTTCTTTGCTTGACAGGGCGCGTGAGACGAGGTGGACCGTTGGTACGGTGGAGGTGTTGATGTTGGGCGGACTAGGGGTGCGCCCTGGGCGCGTGGTTGTTGGTTGGCGGTTGAGTTCCTGGTCGTGGTAATTCCGAAGTCATTTCTCCCCGGTGGCGTTCGGTCTTGTGATTCGAAGTGACACGACCGACGGTGCGACTCTGCTGCGCTGTGGCGTACATTTCAGGGCAAGCTCGCTGAGGCTGAGGCGCTGTATGATCGGTGCCAAGCAATCGAGGAGAAGGTTCTCGGCCCTGAGCATCCCAGCGTGGCGACCACACTGCACAACCGGGCGGGCTTATTGGAGCAACAGGTGCGAGGCATCCGGTTCGCTGGACAATTGTTTTGAGTTGTGCCGTGGTTTGTGTGGTTTTGTGTCGTACTAGTTGTTCCGGTTGTAGTTGCCGCGGCCCGTTCCTTGCTTGACAGGGCGCGTGAGACGAGGTGGACCGTTGGTACGGTGGAGGTGTTGATGTTGGGCGGACTAGGGGTGCGCCCTGGGCGCGTGGTTGTTGGTTGGCGGTTGAGTTACTGGTCGTGGTAATTCCGAAGTCATTTCTCCCCGGTGGCGTTCGGCCTTGTGATTCGAAGTGACACGACCGACGGTGCGACTCTGCTGCGCTGTGGCGTACATTTCAGGGCAAGCTCGCTGAGGCTGAGGCGCTGTATGATCGGTGTCAAGCAATGAAGGAGAAGGTTCTCGGCCCTGAGCATCCCAGCGTGGCGACCACACTGCACAACCGGGCGGGCTTGATGGTGGAACAGGTGCAAGGCATTCCGGTTTGCTGGACAATCGTTTCGAGTTGTGCCGTCGTTTGTGTCGGTTTTTCGTCGTTGTAGTTGTTCCGGTTGGAGTTGCCGCGGCCCGTTCCTTGCTTGACAGGGCGCGTGAGACGCGGTGGACCGTTGGTACGGTGGAGGTGTTGATGTTGGGCGGACTAGGGGTGCGCCCTGGGCGCGTGGTTGTTGGTTGACGGTTGAGATACTGGTCGTGGTAATTCCGAAGTCATTTCTCCCCGGTGGCGTTCGGCCTTGTGATTCGAAGTGACACCACCGACCGTGCGACTCTGGTGCGCTGTGACGTACATTTCAGGGCAAGCTCGCTGAGGCTGAGGCGCTGTATGATCGGTGCCAAGCAATCGAGGAGAAGGTTCTCGGCCCTGAGCATCCCAGCGTGGCGACCACACTGCACAACCGGGCGGGCTTGATGGTGGAACAGGTGCGAGGCATCTGGTTGTTGGGCAATCTTTTCGAGTTGTGCCGTGGTTTGTGTTGTTTTTGTGTCGTTGTAGTTGTTCCGGTTAGACTTGCCGAGGCCCGCCGCTTGCTTGACAGGGCGCGTGAGACGAGGCGGACCGTTGGTACGGTGGAGGTGTTGATGTTGGGCGGACTCGGGGTGCGCCCTGGGCGCGTCGTTGTTGGTTGACGGTTGAGTTTCTGGTCGTGGTATGTCCGAAGCCATTTCTCCCCGGTGGCGTTCGGCCTTGTGATTCGAAGTGACACCACCGACGGTGCGACTCTGGTGCGCTGTGGCGTACATTTCAGGGCAAGCTCGCTGAGGCTGAGGCGCTGTATGATCGGTGTCAAGCAATCGAGGAGAAGGTTCTCGGCCCTGAGCATCCCAGCGTGGCGACCACACTACACAACCGGGCGGGCTTGATGGTGGAACAGGTGCGAGGCATCTGGTTGTTGGACAATCGTTTCGAGTTGTGCCGTGGTTTGTGTTGTTTTTGTGTCGTTGTAGTTGTTCCGGTTAGACTTGCCGAGGCCCGCCGCTTGCTTGACAGGGCGCGTGAGACAAGGTGGACCGTTGGTACGGTGGAGGTGTTGATGTTGGGCGGACTAGGGGTGCGCCCTGGGCGCGTGGTTGTTGGTTGGCGGTTGAGTTACTGGTCGTGGTAATTCCGAAGTCATTTCTCCCCGGTGGCGTTCGGCCTTGTGATTCGAAGTGACACCACCGACGGTGCGACTCTGGTGCGCTGTGGCGTACATTTCAGGGCAAGCTCGCTGAGGCTGAGGCGCTGTATGATCGGTGCCAAGCAATGAAGGAGAAGGTTCTCGGCCCTGAGCATCCCAGCGTGGCGACCACACTGCACGGCCGGGCGGGCTTGATGGTGGAACAGGTGCGAGACATCCGGTTTCTTGGACAATCGCTTCGAGTTCTGCCGTGATTTGTGTTGTTATATGTCGTTGTAGTTGTTCCGGTTCTAGTTACCGTGGCGCGTTGCTTGCTTGACAGGGCGCCTAAGACGAGGTGGACCGTTGGTACGGTGGAGGTGTTGATGTTGGGCGGACTAGGGGTGCGCCCTGGACGCGTGGTTGTTGGTTGACGGTTGAGTTCCTGGTCGTGGTAGTTCCGAAGCCAATGCTCCCCGGTGGCGTTCGGTCTTCCCATTTGAATTGAAACGACCGACGGTGCGACTCTGCTGCGCTGTCGCGTACATTTCAGGGCAAGCTCGCTGAGGCTGAGGCGCTGTACGATCGGTGTCAAGCAATGAAGGAGAAGGTTCTTGGCCCTGAGCATTCCAACGTGGCGACCACACTGCACAGCCGGGCGGGCTTGATGGTGAAACAGGTGCGAGGCAACCGGTTTGCTGGACAATCGTTTCGAGTTCTTCCGTCGTTTGTATTGTTGTTGTTCCGGTTCTAGCTGTCGCGCTTAACGCTTCAGCAGCGCCGGGGGTGGTTGACAGGATGCGTAGGACGAGACGGACTCTTCGTGCTGTGTTGCCCGCCTTGTCTGTGTTGCAGTCTTACCGAGAATGTGCGGTGTCTCCGCGCCGTGCAAAATGTGTCGTACATTCACAGGGGAAGCGCGATCAAGCAGTTCCTCTCTTGGAGAGGGCCTTCTCAATCCGCATGAAGGCTCTCGGGAGCAGCCACCCTGACACCATTGCCACCCAGAACCAGCTGGAGCATGGGCAATAACAGGTTGATTCGCAGTGGAATCGTCTAGTAGGGAAGCCTTGTGCATTGCTCATCGCGCGAATATCTGGTGTGTGTGTGTATCTTTATTTTTAGCATCGAACGCGCTAACCGGCTGATCAATGAAAAAACGTCAGTCTTAGCGCGATTGAAAACACAAAACACTTCCATCTGCCATGAACTGGGACCCCGTGAGGGGGCAGCATGGAGGAGGCTAAACTATCCTTCGGATCAAAGACAGAAACTGCAGCAACAGAAGAATACTGGACGCGTCTACCAAGGCTATTACCTTGCACTCTAGTTCGTTTAGGAGTACTTTCACCATTATCTTCCTTGTTTTCGCTACCATCCCTCTGATAATCATTTTGACAGCAATCTCTGGGCAGTTCTTCCCTAGCCCTGCGTTTTTTGTTTTGGGGAAGGTCATATGGCTCAAACCCTGTGCTCTCTTCCATTCCTCCATGTTTTCCTCCTCCATCGTCGTCTTCGTCCTCCTTTGTTCGCTTTCCCTTTCCTTCGTCTCCGTCACTCCTAAAAGAATTACCCCTTACTGTCGTTGTCGCAGAGATCCCAACCGATTGGCCCTGGTGGAAGTTGGTCGATCAGTAGCCCATGACGTTTGAACACATCGCGAGTTCGCATCGACAGAAACGAGCTAGCTCGAAGGTAAACAGTCTCCGAATCCTGTTACTATGAAAAGCTTTCAGGCGAATTAAGGCTCTTTCGTCATCAAAATTCCCCTGGCAAAAAGCTTCGTGCGCCAAGTGTGTGTGTGTATGTTTCTGTATGCATCGACCGTGGTAACCGGCTAGCCAATGAATCGACGTTGGCCTCTTCGCGGGTTCAAATTGGAGACCCATTGGAAGCCCGTGTTGATGCTTTGTTTCGTGGGCAGGTGTGATGGATCGAGTGGAGACGATATCGACGCCTTTCCTGGGATAGCGGTTAGACTGCTCAAGCGAACGACCAAGTTTGCATTATTTTTTTCGGGACATCGCATTTCGTGCTGGTGACCTCGGCGATGGATGTTAAGAAAAATGTCGGGAGTGCCAGGTGTTCATGCGGTCGAGGCCTGCTGCCTAACCTGTCGATACTGTTCTTATTCGGTCTTCGTTCAGTCTCCGACGCTCGCTCCGTATAATGGTATGACCTGTCTTCAAAGTGGAGTGATAACAATTGTGAAAACGGGAAGACATGGTCAGTTGGGGACGCCTTAATGGTACCCACCAAAGATTGCATATTTCCTTGGATATGGCGCGGGAGTCTACTAGGCAATAGGCAAGGCAGTTTACACTCACACAATGTCCTTACATGAAACAGATGGTGACCAGATGCGCTTTACACCAACCTCTGAATCCCGTGGTCGGCTCCTCGTGCTTTGTACGTGAGAGACCCGGACTGAGAGTTGTTTCACAGGTGTAGCAATAGCAATCTTGTTCTGTGTTTGAGGGGCGTGAATTGAGCTTGACGGAGCAGCGGAGCAATGTAGCCGAAGCCGCGACGCACTAAGAATCTTAGTCGTAGCTGGAGGTGCTAATGTGCACAATGACGTTCGCGTTGACGTTTTCGACCGTTGGTGCCCTGCTAGGACCGTGTTGCACGTCCACAACTTGTCAAACGACGCCTGCCAAAAACATACTATGGTCGGTTTTTTACTTGAGATGACGGGGAGTACCTCCTGTATGCGGTCCACAGGCAATGTGACGTGTGGTAACCCACGCTCATATTTCGAGAGATCCCTGCTGTACTCGAAATTCTGACGGGTGAACGGATTGTTGTAGCTGTGTGGGTTGATGAACGCATACGAACCACCATCTGACCGGGGTTTCACCAAAACACTACGCAATACAGAATTTCTGAGCCCACCACAGCACCCAACAGCAAAATCACTGACCGACGCGATCGTTAGGTATGCATTTTGTTGTCCTTTTTGTTTTTTTTTGTCATCAATTCAAACAGCTCTCACAGAACTTGTGCCTGTTTCTCCAACCCGTGGTCACACAGAGCGGTTCCTCTCTGAGGCCCCCTACCCACCCCTCCTGGGGTCTTTGCCTTCGATTTTTAATGCGAGAAGAGTGCAGCACTCTCGTCCCTCTGTGTGCACACGAACTACAGAAGCGCTTTCCACCCACGCTAGGAACGGGAGCGAGAGAAGAACTCACTTTGCAAGCAATGCTCGCTTACGCCGGGATTCGAACCCATGACCCTGGCCACTAGAAAACCGGGGCGATTAGATGCATAGTGATCGGTAAAAGGCCGGCAGGCACACGTCAATTATACTTTCATTTCGTATATTCCGCTACATGTCCGTCGGTAGTGGGACGACACCGAGCCCTCGTCCCCGATCCGTATCCACCACCTACAAATGGTCGTCTGCACAAGTCCCATGCGGTAGTAGACGTCTGTCGTTCACGCGTTTGGTCGACGCGGGGATCGCCCTCTCCGTTCGCTGAAGACGAGTTTCTGCCTTCTCACAGCAGGCTTAGCAAAGCTGGCTCTAGCGCACCACTTTCCGGAGAGCTTGCCGTTCATCGAAGAACGGGCTTCTTGTCCGTTCACTTCGGAAGGGCGGGATTCATTCCCGAGTTCCATGATAACTCGTGTCACGTGTGAACTGCCCTCTGCATTTGAATTCCCGACAAGCAACAAAATGCAACTCGCAGGGTGATTCTACTGCTGTGTGTTGCGCGTCCAAGCGCTAGGCACGCTTGGACAACTCACACTCCTGTAGCGACGACAATATCGACAGGTCTTCCGAACCAATTTCGGGGGAATCCGAGAGGAAGGTGGACATCGGAGTGCTGGAGAGCTGCTGCCCTGCCTGCCCCCCGTGCCGTGTGAAACGGGTTGTCAAGCTTGTGGCAGCCCGTTCGACCTCAAGCTGCTGGCAGGAATCGACAAGTCCTACGCGAGGCAGAATGCGAGTGGCGCCAGCAACATTAGAGACCGAGACAATCAATCTTGCTGACCAAAAGGACTACGCTCTTCCGTTCCACAGTTTCGCACGTGTTTCATCTGCAACGATCGGGCAAGAAGTGGGGCCACCCAGCGATGCACGTCCGTACGTGACACACCGCGAACGACGAGGCAAACGCTATGCATGTCGGCGCCCGCGGCACTGGGCCAACGTGGCATCGAATCACAGCAGCTGCGCCTCCCCGCACGCCACGCACACCTATGCGGCAGGCGTATTCATGCTTCCAACGTCTGGAGTGTCCCCGAGGATATGTTCTTGGTGGCACACGTACACACCGTTCAACCCCCCAAGTTCGCGGTTCCGCTTCTTCCCTTTCACAGACGTGCGCCCCGTCTCATCGAAACTGTCCGTCATTGTCTGTGTCCATGTAGACCACACTGGATCATTGTGTTGTTGGTGATGTGATTCCTTCATCATGCTCTCTTCACGTCGTCAACGTTGGCTTACTGTAGATGGAGTTTGATAAATAAACACTGCTGCTCCACACGGTGTCTCTTGAACATCCCAAGAGAGCTGAACTAAACTGTACGGCTTCCGTCCATAAGGCTGGCCAGCTGACTGCCCGACTTGGCCATGAGATCCCTGAATGTGCCCTGTTCAGCTACAGTTCCACCCTGAAGAACAGCCACGCTGTCCGCCTGAATCGATGGCAGGAAAGGACACGTTTCACAGAGAAAGGCGTCAGGGTCAGGTAGGCGACGGAATTGGCATCGAGACCACGGGAGTTGCACACGTTCGGGCTGCCTTACATGGCCAGCCCAACAACCGCGGTCAACATCTACAACCATGCATAACTTATGGTGCAACTCCGTCAGGGGGTTGCCCTAAGATCAACCACCCCATCCCTTGGGCATTTGGCAACTCTCCACGACAGACTTTTTCAAACGATAAGTTATGCTCGGCGACTCTACATTGGGGACAGCCTCGGAAATTATTGTGAGAGACAATGCTGTCGTATGGTTGCGTGAGGTGCTTCAACACCGCGAACTACCGCGTCTTTCTTGAACGTTCTGCAAAGTTTCGAAACCAAGCCACAACACTGCCAAAACACTGCCAAAACAGGTTGTCGCCTCCGTCGATAATGACCTGGTACAGTAAGAATTGCACGATTGCCCTCACCTTGTTAACCGTCGACTGGCGGTGCGCTATGACGAGCACCGTGCGAGAGGCTACCACCCTGTCTATGGCCTCGGACACAAGGCGCTCTGATTCGGCATCAAGCGCCGAAGTTGCCTCGTCCAAGATCAAGATTGGCGGGTTCTTCAGCACAGCGCGGGCTATCGCGACGCGCTGAACGTAGGTAAGGAGGCAGCATGGGACCGTAAAGAAAGCGAATGAAAAAATGTATATTACCAAAGCCCGGACGCCTTCAAGAGGCCCTGAATATAGTCGACAGGATGCGAGGTGCTTGCCACTAGACACGTGCCGATGGGCGGTGTGCACGCGACTTGCCGACCTGCACGATAGATTCACGCCAGCACTATCGCAACATACGCGTTCCGAGCAGTATGAACCTACGCCTGGTCGTGACGAACGCCTCTCTGGCAGACGATAGACGTCGTGCGCAGCTCAACGGACCGCGAGATGTTGACCGAAGACCATTCCTAACCGACGTCTGACGTTGAAGGCTCAGCGCGAAAGGTGTCACCTGCTTCTGTCCACCACTGAGTTGACGCCCTTCGTCCCCGACTTTGGTTTGGTAGGCTTCGGGGAAGTCCATGATGAAATCGTGGGCGTTCGCCTGGTGTTTTTGATGATATACATGCAAGCACCATGCACGAATATCGTCAGAGAGAGTGTAGTGCTGACACCCATGTCCACAGCTCAGAGCAGGGCTCCTACCTGATGCACTCATCCTTGATGAACGAAAGAAACGAATGGTAAGGCATGACAGGTCATGAGAGACCTACAAAGATTCATCAGATCTCTGGGCGGATCATGATACCCTCGCACCTTTCAGCAATCTTTCCCCTGCCGCTGCACCCTTTGAATCATTTGGGAGCATCCTTTTGGGAACATATTTAGT